TTTTATTCTGCACGTTGAACTCAAAATTGCTGCATCAAGTTCAGTGTAAAGACTGAGTCAAATCAAAACTCTTGTTTAATTGCTTTTGTGGACAACATACAGACAGAACAATTGAAATAGAAATGAATCAAAGTTCCCTAAAGTTGTCCAAATTCTATCTGATTTTAGTGTAAGTATCATGAACATATTTTAACTTTTGAATGGTGTAGTGGTTAATACACTGTTTCCCCTTTCCTCCCCAGAGACATGTTTTATGTGCACTCTGGGGTCCAAAGGGAGCTTATTCTTGCTTTGCATGGAGGATGGCAATCCAAAGTTACACCACATGGTTGATGATCCACTTCAGCTTAGCTGAAGCCACAAATTTAAAATAAGAAACATGGATTTGATCTCAAGTTAACTTGCCAGAAGGTTCAATGCATCTTCTTAAGGGGGATGAATCTACCATACCCTACAGCACTCGCATCAGACCATGCAAAAGTGTCTATTAACCTGGTTTGGATAATACCTCACCTATGAATAAGCAGCAATTCTTGTTTATAGGGTGCTGTTCCCAGGAAAGGTGGAAGCAGTTACATTTAGCTTTTGACTGAATGTGCAAATCTATTCCTGGATCAGCACTGCTTGTCATTGCCTGCCACACACAGTGAATGAGCACAGGACTTTGGATTACAAGGCAGCACATCAACATATTTGCAAGAGCACAACAGTGAGGAGTCTTTCACTTACGTTTTGGCTTTCCTCTTCCTTTTTGTCAGCTGGCTTGTCTGACTGCGACGCTGCTTTCCTCCTTTGCAAGGGAACATGAGATAGGACACACAGTCAACCCTCTAGAAACACATCCTCCATGTGGGAAGGCTGATTCAGGCTCTGGTGGGAGTTATTATTTACTTAGTTCATCCTAGGGAACGTGACAAAGACTGGATGTATTCGGTTGCATAGGATTGGGGTGGAGGTGAGGGATCCAGACCTCAGCGATATGACTCAGGGAGAGGGGCAATATTATGAGGTGGTGTGTCACAGAGGAACACAGGGTGCAGAGCATAAGGAAGTGGGTTGAAGCGGAGGAAGGAAGCGCAGCTCGGTATGAAACTGGGTGAGAAAGGGATGGCTTCTCTCTAGGGCTCAGGAAGTGGTGGCTCCTGTTTCCTCCTACACAGGAGGAAAACCCCAAATCCCCACAGGGGTTTCTGAGGACCAACCCAACCTTCCACAGGTGGATCAGGTGGGTATTGCAGTGATGACACTGTTCTCAGCCAGCTCCAATATAATTTTGCCACCTGTCCTATATCCCCCCATCCCTGTTCCCACCCAGCTAAAAGGCTGTGGCAGTGGTCCCATGTGATGGGAAAACAGTCAGAAAAGCCCTTCAGCCAAGGTCCATCCTCACTGGGAAAGATCGGGCACCATTTCTGCTCAGCCAAGACCCCTGCTCCCTCCAGGGTGGGAGAGCTCCGGCTGGAGACCAGGAGTCAGGAAACGAGTGCACCAGCCTGGGTTTTCAAGTGCCTTTGGTGAGTGACGGGGCATTATTGCTGGCTCGAATCCAATTCAAAAGCAGCAGAGCTCCTGAGCCCTGTAGTCCCAGGACTGGCAGTGTTGGTGGTGCCTACAGAAGTTGAGTGAGGATCTGAGACCCTCACTCTGTCCTGCTTCCCAAGGAGAGGCAAAACTCTCCAACAAGCAAGTGGCAAAGAGCTGCAATCCATCCACTGGAGCAACTGGACATGAGAGTAAACAAAGATGTTGGTTATTTATCTTTGAAGAATGCATGGTAAAACTTCTTGGGTGTTATCCACACTGGCTGAAGAAAAGAAAACCAAATTATTGATCTTCAAGCCCTATTTAGGGTGTAAACAGTACTCAAGTGTGCCAGATACTGATTGTCCAGACATCCAATTTCCCATTTTAGACAATTAGGGGAACTGCAGGTCTAGTCTCCACATGGATTTTGGTTGTGATGATCCTTATCCTTATCCACCTGTGAACACTACCCTTAGCAGCTGTTTTTTAAAACACCAATATGACAGGTTTTTCGTTTAGTCTTGCTTCTGAAGTGGACAAAATTCATCTCACAGGAAAAAAAAAAAATCCCAAGTGGCACTTAGAAAGGCTTCTGAGTTTCAAAACACTGCCACAAGTTTGTCAAAGGATTTTTTTTTCATATCGCTGGCAAAAGAAAAGCCTCACTGGATTCACAAATTGGAGGAGTTGATGTAAATTTGACAAAAAAACAGAGGAGTAAAACACATGCATGTGTTTGTAGGACACAGTGCTCTGTGGGAATTATTTACAGATATTCAACTGCATTAATAATTTTATTAGATCAGAAATAATTTTTATAGTCTTTCTCTAATATTTACTTGATACTTCTGAGGAAAAAAGGTTATAATGATTATAAACCAGAGCGAGGGAAATATTTGCCAAGGTGAGAGACCAGTGTTAGATTTATGTCCTGCAACAAACTTAACTGGGCTAGAAATTATAGCGGTTTGTGAGATAGTTCATTACTCTGCTTGCACTTCAGTTCTGAAGCAAAGGGCTGCTCTCATGGGGGCCACTAAATCTAGAGAAACATATTTTATAGCACCTGAGCCCTCAGAATCGTTTTCCTTTGTTACTTACCCAGCATTATACACATTCCCTGTTTCTGAGCATGTGGTTTTCTGCTCAGAAAGGGGCCCCTGAGATCCCCTGCTCATCACTCTGTGATTTCTGTATTGAACATGCTCAGTTTAAAAAACGTCTTTTTTTCCTCCTGGCTGCCAACTCAGTAAGAGCAACCTGAAACACAGTGCCAGGTTCTTCCTTTCTCTATGTCATCCCACATAAAAAGGGTTTTGCAGCCAAAAGAAATCCTCTCAGTATCAGTTTAACAGCACGCGCCCTTTGCACCCTTGACTGACACTTGTGTATTTCCAATGACTTCCATGGCTTTGTGAAGCAAAATTCAGGAGACAATTCTGTTGCTGTCAACTCCCTGGGAAAGGATTTGCAGCTCAGTTATTTTCAGAGTAGAGGCAGCACGGTGCTCATGGCAGTACAGGTGCTTCTGTCAAGATAGGAAGGGGATTCGACCCTGAATACTTGAAGACACCAAATCCCACTGCTGAAAGCCATACTGGAATACATTTTAGACTAGAACCACAGAAATTTGTAGGACTTCTATATCCAAGCATATGAGATGTCCATTTAGCTTGCTTGCTTGAACAGAGCTAGTTACCCCAGCATCTAGTCATCAAACCTTACTTTGCTTACAGACATCTTCCAGTTCACCAAGTCAGTCTTGATAAGTAGTAACACAAAATAGATCAGAAGGTGAACTAGTAAATAACTATTAAAAGCTGTTAAGCTACTTTAATTCTGAAAAGAGAGAAAATTATCTATTTGGTATTTTACACTGCTGGTAACTTTTTATAGTGTTGTGTATTTATTTAATGCTTTCCAAAGGATTACATCCACAGTCCGTGTTCAGAATTCCTTCTGAAATGACCAGGACATGGACGAAAGTTGGAATCCGATCCTCTGAACTGGGAACTCTTTTTATACTAGACAACATTATTTAAAAACTCCATCTCTGCGCACTATACAACTGTACCTTCTCTTCATTATTTTACTCATCCTTTTCTTTCACTATTTGTAAGTAAAAAAAAAATTAGAGCTAAAAATAAAGCATCTAACACTAGGAACTTGGGAGTCTGGCAGAACATTACTGATGGAATCAGGGGGAAAAGAGAAAGAAAAAAAAACTGTAATAATTGAGTGCCTTTTAACAGCTGGTAGCTTGATACATCACAGCTCACTTTAGTGGAGAATAACGTGACTAGCCTGTCTGAAACACACTGAGAATCAATAATAATTTACCTGCCAAGATGATGTCCTTTTATTGCACTTCTGTTTATATTTTTGGGCCCAACATCCTGAACGTGCTGCATAAAGAATGATTTGTCTAAGCTCCTTTCATAGTTTACTCTTTCTGAAAACAGTAACTTCGAAATAGATCTGGTAAAATGGCAAAACCACACTGGATATATTTATCACCATCTTTGAATGTTACCACACTGCAGGATTTGCTACAGCAGCTAAACTCTGCCAGGTATCATTGCTGCAACATCTACATTTCATATTAAAGACCAGACAATGCTGGTGACTAACATCTATGCAGGACCTGTCAAATTGCAAAGAAGCACCAAAGTGACCCGCTGCTAACCAAAAATGACAGCATGTTGTTCCACAATTTGCTGCAGAGCTCATGCTAGTGCTTACTTGAAGTCTCAGTACAAACCTTTTTGCCAGTAATTTATTCATTTCTTCCATTAGTCCTCCTCCGCCTCCTCCGCTACTTGTTCGATTGGCATCGCTCTTAGAGACCCCACTGGGGCTGGACCCTCCTGAACCATCTTCTGGCTTAAGACAGAAATCAAGATTGGAATTAATGAAAAGTTTCATTTACAACCACACCCTTAATGATTAGTTTTCCTAATTATTAGGAACAGCAATCACAGTCACAGCCCAAAACCAGAGATAGTGTGTGTTCTGCTTTGGGAAGAAGACCCACATGGGCCTTACTAAAACCAGGACAGTCTGGGTGAGGCAACTATATGGGCAAATGATGAAAAAACCCACAGCGCTGTTTGTTCATGGTTATGTTTATGCATGGTTATGCAACCCTTACCTAAGTGGACACACTAAGAGGCCTCAATAGTCTACGCTGGTTTTTGTAAGCATGGTGCAGTTTTAACCACTTACAATGACTGAAAACACTAACAGATAGCACAATGGTGGACTTTGCAGAAGTAATGAAATCCTGGCAACAAGAAACTTGCAGCCATTTGCTAATTAATATTTTCTGAAGAGCAGAAATTCTACCAAACATCTCCTGCTCAGCTTTATTTGCACTACAAACTCACATTTAAAAGTCAGCTGATGGTCAGCTGAAGCATGTTTCACCACGTTTCATGCTGGATTTGCAGACTATTACACCAAGCTGCGCCAGGCTTTCCCACAGCAGAGCAGAGCCCATCGGTCAGTCCCAGTGCCACCTCCTTACCCGTTGAACTCTCCTTAGTTTGGCACC